TGTGTGTGTGTGTGTGTGTGTGTGTGTGTGTAGAGGAGAGACAGACAGAGAGAGGGAAAGTGAGAAATCACCCCTCCAGGGAAGATGACTACACTGCAATCCCATCTCCTCCATTTCCTCCTGGGATCTTGAACATGTACACACACACATCCGGCGTGATTTTCAGGTCCCTGCATCTGGGACTTGAACTGCAGTTGGCCATGTGGAAGTCCAGCGACATAACTGCTATGCCATCTGCTGGCCCTGATTATTGTTTACCTTTTAGGCAGCTTTGTTCTTTAGAAATGTAATGCTAGTCACATGTAATTTAAAATTTTTCTAGTTGTCACATTCAAAAAACTAAAAACAAACAGGTACTATTAATTTTAATAATATACTTATAAATTAAAAGCATTGTAACCTGTAATAAATAAGAAAAACTGATAATGAAGTGTTTTACTTTTCATCAAGTGGTAGAAAACAGGTGTGGGAGCCAGCAGGTGGTATAGTGATTAAGACTCTGAACTCCTTTATGGTCAACTGATTCTAACCCAAAATCCTAAGAAGAGAATGGAGAAGAAGGGATTGTAGCATGGCCATCTTGCCTGGAGAGTGATTTCTCAGTTTTCCGCTCACTGTTTCTCTCTGACTCCAATGAGCACATGCACCCTATGGGAAAAACTTGTAAAAAAATTAAAGGAATCAGGTGCGTCTTTTACATTTATAACAGATCTCAGTCTCACTAGCCACATTTCAAGTGTTCAGTACACATATGGGTAGAGGGTGATGTATTGGGCAGTAAAATTCTAATGGTTTTGCAAAAAACTACTGTTAGATATTCACAAATAATATAGTGATGATTAATTTATGATAAGGTTTCATTTAAATATTAAGATGTCTTTCTAGTCATATATGAAATTTATAAAATATAATTTTAGTTAAATACTTATGCTGTAATTTTTTATTTTAAAAGAGATAGGATCATTTTTATTTTTTGGCATAAGGAATGAAGAAAAATGTACCCAAAAATCCATTATTGATCTAATAATTAGCATCTTTTTCTTTTTTTAAAAAAGAGCTTTTTGCCTTAGGATGCGTGTGCTTGCTAGAAAGAGACAGAGACAGCAAGAGGGAAAGCAAAAATCACCTCCAGGGGGATGGCCACACCACAATCCCTTCTCCTCTTTGGATCTTGGGCATGCATACACACGTGCCTGGAATAATTTTCAAACCACCAGGTCTGGGAGACTTGAACTGTGGGAGTCCAGCGACATAAGCACTACACCATCTGCTGGCCCCATCATCTTTTTCATTTATAAATAATCTTGTCTATTTTGTCCTGGTCTTTCTCAACCTACTCACCTAAGGAGATTTTGAAAAGAATAGGTGGAGAAGACTTTAGCTTCCTTCTTTTTTTTTTTTTTGAGAATTATGTTATCTAAGTTTATTGATTTACTTATTAAAAAAAAATTGACCAGAGAGGGGACAGAGCGGAGAGAAAGAGAGAAAGAGTGAGAAAGTGAGGAAAAAATGAGAAAGCAAGCCGCCAGGTCTAGAACTTGAGCTGTGGTTGGCCATGTGGGAGTCCAGTGTCCTTAAGCACCATGCCACCTGCTAGCCCCTCTAGCTCCCTTCTAACTGAAATGTTTTCTCTTCCTTTTTTAGTCAATGGTACCAAAGGACTTTCTGTCAATGATTTCTACTCCGGTTTGGAGAGCTCAGGATGGCTTCGGCATATCAAAGCTGTTATGGATGCTGCAATCTTCTTAGCTAAAGTAACTCTCCTCTTTGGTTTTGGGATTTTTAATGGTTGGGAAGGAGTGGATTGTTTTGTTGGGTTTTAGTATCTGTCCCAGATAACTTTTATTATGCTTTACCTCTTTAATGAGGTCACTTTACTTTGAGCTTTAAAAATGTTATGTGGCACTTAAATATAAGACTTAAAAAGAAATTCTCAAATACTTTGAAGTAGCATTTTTTTTCTTTTGTTTTTCATTTGTTTCCTTTGCATTTTTGGTGTTGCGTTTCTTTTTGATCTTTGGAAATTATGCTGTCTCAACATTATCACTGGCACATAGGTTTTCGTTATAATGCAATACCTGCTTGTGTGGTTGTCTAGTAAATAGAACTCACTGATTTACCTAAAATGTATTCTGCTAGAATCTAAGTATGTGATCTTTCTTTTCAGGCAATAATGATTGAAAATGCAAGTGTGTTGGTACATTGTTCTGATGGTTGGGATAGGACTTCCCAAGTTTGTTCCCTTGGTTCTCTTCTGTTGGATTCCTATTATAGGACAATCAAAGGATTCATGGTAAGAATTTATTCTGTGAGACCAGTTATTCTCAAGCAGGGAGGATTTTCCCCCCTCGGGGACATTTGGCAATGTTAGGAAGCAGTTTTGATTTAAGGAAATGGTGCAGTTGCCATCTAGCTTTTAGAGGCCTGGGTATTGCTAAACATTCTATAATGCACCACCAGCCTCCACAAAAAAGAATTATCTGATCTAAAATATCAGCACTGCTGCAGTTGAGAAACCTTGAGCTAGACTGATTTTCATTTGTGTCACCTCTTTAACAAAAAGCTTTGTATATAAAAATTTATTGGGGGACTAGCAGTTGGCGTAATAGCTGTGTCACTGGACTCCCACATAGTTGATCGCGGTTTGAGTCCCAGACCTGGTGGCTTAAACTCACGCTGGGTGCATGTGCATGCCCAAGATCCTGAGAGGAGAATGGAGAAGGGATTGCAGCGTGGCCATCCCCCCTGAGGGGTGATTTCTCACTTTCTTTCTCTTTGTCTCTCTCTGTCTTTCTGGCGAACACACGTGCCCTATAGCAAAAACCTCTCAAAAAAATTAATTAAATACATAGAGACCAGCAGTTAGTGTAATGGCTATGTCGCTGGACTCCCACGTAGTCGACCATGGTTCGAGTCCCGGACCCGGTGGCTTAAAATCACGCCGGGCGCGTGTGCGTGTATGCCCAAAATCCTGAGAGGAGAATGAAGGAGAAGGGATTGCGGCGTGGCCATCCTCCCTGGGGGGTGATTTCTCACTTTCTGTCTCTCTGTCTCTCTCTGTCTGTCTTGTGAGCGCACGTGCCCTATAGCAAAAACCTCTCAAAGAAATTTTAATTAAATACAAGTTTATTGGGGATTTTTCCTAAAATGCTACAATAGAAATATTAGTTGTTTTTTCTCTCATAAAAAAAAAAAAAAGCCAAACAGCATGCACACTTGCCAAAGAGAGAGAGCGATAGAGAGAAATGGAGAGAGAGAGAGAAAAAGTGAAAAAGCATCCCCATAGGGCATGGTCATACCACAGTCCCTTCTCTTCTATCTCTCCCTCTTTTTGGGATTTTGGGCATGCATGCATATGCATCTGGTGTGTTTTTCCACTTGCTGGGTCTGGGACTTGAACTGCATGATCTGCCATGTGAGATCCAGCTTCCTTAACCATTGGGGCAGACTAGCATCTCCCTCATTTTAGACCAATGCATTTTAGTAATTCAGTAAAACAAGCCACAAATGTGAACATACTGGGGGCCAGATGGTAGTACCATGGTAAAATGAGATGCTCTGTGAGGCAGTCCCATTGGGAAGATTTCTGATCCAAAAATGACCTCCTGATTATAATATGCCTTACCTCAGGGCTGACTAGGGGTAGATTGTGACGTCAGTACCCTGTTAGGGGCCACCCTTTCTCTTCCTGTCTCTTGTGCTCATGGGAGAAATAAACATATAAACTTATAGTATTATATTCTAGAGGGAACTTTCTATTTAAAACATCTTCATTTATTAAATATAATAACATGTTAGGCATGTTTTATAGCTGAAAATGAAAGTTTTATTAGTTAACGGATTTTCTGCGTTATGAAAATACATTCTTAGCTCCTATTTTTTGTTGTCTTGCTTTTTAACATATGGTCAGAAAATTCTCATAAGTAACATGAATGAAGAAATATTCAAAAAGTTTTCATTAGCTTAAAATTATTAAATACAATGGTATCTTAGAGTAAGAGAAAACTTAAAGTCACCAGCCCCCTGTTTGAATGCCATTGTTTTGTGCTGCAAAACCTATTGAATCTGGGATGGCCAAATGGGAGTGCATTGATAGGAAGGTAATGCTCAGCTTACCTGGAGAGTGTGAGACAGGGAACATGTTAGCCAGATGAAGTGTGTAATATATGACCAGGGGCAGTGTGAGAGTCTCTTAGATAAGCAGGAACAACACGCATGAAGCATGGCCCCTTCCAGTGACTGCAGGTAATGTGCAATGGATGGAATTCGGGATGACTGTTAGAGTAGGGGGTTGGATGCAGAGGAAAATAGTAGGAGAAGGGCCCAAGGAAGGGGCTGGAATTGGACTATTTTCCCTTTTGGAGCAGGGGTAGTGGAAGTCATTAGAGAGCTTTAAGGGGACATAGCAACTTGATTAGATCTGCTTTTAAAAATATGGTTTGGTGTCTTGAAGGCAGAGGGGAGTGGGAATGAAGTCTCTGAGACCAGTATAGACCTAGTTATAATAACTTGGGACCAGCAGATGTTGTAATGATTACATTGCTGGACACCTACATAGCTGACCATGGTTTGTCCCCTGGACCTAGAGACTTGAAATTCACACTGGGCTTGTGTACGTGCATGCCCAAAATCCTGAGAGGAGAATGGAGAAGGGTTTGTGGTGTGGCCCTCCTCCCTGGGGGGGATTTCTTGCTTTCTGTCTCTCTGCTTCTCTCTGTCTCTCCAGTGAGCATACATAGCAAAAATCTCTCAAAAAAAAACCAAAAAAAACAAACAAAAAAACAGTTTCAGTAACTCAAGAGAAATTAGGGTGAGGACAGTCACATAAGGGAAAGGAGAGGTGGTTTCAGAGGTGGTAAGAAAGTAGAGTAAGTAAGAAAAAGTCATGGGTTAACTATGACATAGGATCATTTCCAGGTTCCTGAATCACTTGGCAGGATGGATGGTGCTGCTGCCTGCTTTTCACTGAGATGAGCAGAGGAACAGGCTTAGTTAGGAAGATACTAAGTTCTAGACCTGGATGTGTGGAAGAATGGCAGAGAGCCTGGAATAAAGTCTCCACTCCAAACTGAAGATCATGCGTCCCTGGTCACACAGGTGTAGAAGTGGTAAAACCAGGAATTGAGCCCATGCACACACTCTAGAAACTCCATCCTTAACTATTGGGATATAAAGCCTTCTGCCAAAATCAGAGATTTAAGATGAAATCAGAAGCTCGAAGTGGCAATTTTTTTTTTTTTGAGAGGTTTTCGCTATAGGGCGTGTGCGCTCGCCAGACAGACAGAGAGAGACATAGAGACAGAAAGCGAGAAATCATCCCCCAGAGGGGATGGTCACGCTGCAGTCCCTTCTCCTCCATTCTCCTCTTGGGATCTTGGGCACACACACGCGCCCGGCGTGAGTTTTAAACCAACGGGTCCGGGACGCGAACCGCAGTCAACTACGTGGGAGTCCAGCAACGTAGCCATTACACTAACTGCTGGTTCCCTCGAAGTGGTAATTTTACCACTGAAAATAATTTCCTTGATGATTATGTAATAAAATTATAAGTATGTTAAATACTAAAAATAAATGTTTAGACTGAGAAATTGGAAATACATTATTTCATTGGAGTAAGCAGAGAAGCTATATGAGAGAAAACAGATAAAGTTCATTTACATGGCTAGATAATAACACTGGGATTTGAACATGAACTACCACTTCACTGGTCTTTTTGTCATTTATTTTTTTCTTGAAAAAGTATTAAATTAATAATATACAAGTAAGCCAAAAGGTTTAAACATCCACCCCAGTCTGCCACCTGGATTTAGGCATTGTTAGTATTTTGTTTAGTGTACATTTTCCTAGCCTTTTGCTTTGATATATCATCTTTGTATGAACAAAAATTTAAATATACTACTGCTGCCCTTTTCCTTTAAAATGTAATAGAGATATCTGAAGTAATTAAAGTGACAGACTGCTTTGTTTCTGTGTATTTTTACTTTTTTAATTTTTATTTTCATTATTAATATTTATTTTATTTAGACATTCAACCACTATACATCATTTAGACTGTAAAGAGATTTTATCAACATGGTATACACTACATAGCAGGAGAGTTGAGAATACTATGTACATTATCAACAGGCAACAAACCATATCTGTGTCTCACAAATGTCTTCTCTATTTTTTCACAAATTTCCCTTCCTGCCCTCTTCCCCTTTCCCACTCTCCTTCCACTTTGTCCCCTGTGTTCATAACAATTTTCGATGCTTTTTTGTCCTCCAGTCTTTCATGGGTTGGTTCCATGTCTTAGCTATCGTGAATAATGCCACAATAAATACAGATGTGCAAGTGCTTTTCTGACAGAGCATTCTCCTGTCCTTTGGGTAGATACTCAGGGGTAGAATTGCTGGATCATATGGTAGTTCTATTTGAAGGTCTTTGAGGAACCTCTAAATTGTTCTCCACATTGCCTGGACCAATTTACATTTCCACCAACCATGTAGGAGAGCTCCCCTTTCACCACATCCCCACCAGCACTTATCATTTTTGTTTTTTAAATCTTCACCATTCTGACTGGGGTTAGGTAGTATCTCACTGTATTTTGATCTGCAGCTCCCTTATGATGAGGGACATTGAGCATTTTTTCATATGATTTTTGGCTATTCATATGTTTTCCTTAGAGAAACATGAACATTTCCCCCATCTTTTTTTTTTTATTTAAGAATTATTTTAATTTTTATTTATTCATTAACTTATTTTTAATTTTACCAGAGAAAGACTGACAGAAAGAGAGAGAGAGAAAGTGAGAAAGAGAAAGAGAGAAAGCAAGCCACCAGGTCTGGGACTTGAACCACGGTCGGCCATGTGGAAGTGTCCATCACCTTAACCACCATGCCGCCTGCTGGTCCTGATTTTCCCCATCTTTTAATTGTGTTAATCATTTTTTCTGGGTAAGCCTCTTGAGTTCCCTGTGTATTCTGGTTATTAGTCCCTTATCTGAGGCATAGTTAACAAAATTTTCTCCCATTTGATTCACACTAATTACTGTGTCCTTTGCTGTGTAGAAACTTCTTAATCTGTTGTAATCCCACCTTTGTTTTGGGGATTATTGCCTGTGCTTTGGGGATCTTGCTTTAATAAGTCTTTGCCTATCCCAATGTCTTCCAGAGTTTGTGGTCTTAGGTTAGTTTAGATCTCTGATCCACTTTGAGTTGATTTTTGTTAATGGTGACAAATAGGGGTTCAGATTCATCTTTCTGCAGGTGGATACCCCGTTTTTCCAGCACCATTTTCCTTTTCCCACTGGATTGACTGGTATCCTTTATCAAAGATCAGCTGACTGTATGATTTAGGGTTTATTTCTGGGGTTTTACTGTGCTCATTTGGTCTTTGTGTCTGTTTTTGTGCCAATACCCTCTTGCTTTGATTATCACAGCTTTGTAATGTATTTTGGGGGTCCATAAGTGAGATGTCACCCACTCCACTCTTACACAGGATGGCCTTGGCAATGTGGGGTCTTTTATGATTCCAGACAAATTCTATGATTGTTTTTTCTAGATCTGTGAAGAATGTCTCTTGTAATTTTATAGGGATTGCATTAAATATGTAGATTAATTTGGGCAAGATTGCCATTTTGGTTATATTAATTCTCCCAATCCAGGAACATTGGATGTCCTTCCACTTTTTTGTGTCATTTTCTATTTATTTTTTAAGATTTTCATGGGTTTCCTTATAGAGGTCCTTGACTTCCTTGGTTAGTTTTATTCCTAGGTATCTTATACTTTTCGTGGCTATGGTAAATGGGATTACTTTCTTCAGTTCAGTCTCTGCTTGTTGTTTGTATATACAAATGCTATCGATTTTTATAAGTTACTTTTGTATCTTGCCACTTTACTGTATACATTTATTACTTCGAAAAGTTCTTTCAGGAACCAGCAGTTAGCGTAATGGCTATGTTGCTGAACTCCCACGTAGTCGACTGCAGTTCGCATCCTGGACCCGGTGGCTTAGAACTCATGCTGGGCACGTGTACGTGCGTGCCCAAGATTCCGAGAGGAGAATGGAGGAGAAGGGATTGCGGCGTGACCATTCCCCCTGGGGGGTGATTTCTTGCTTTCTGTCTCTATGTCTCTCTCTGTCTGTCTGGCGAGCGCACGCGCCCTATAGTGAAAACCTCTCCAAAAAAAAAAAAAAAAGAAAGAAAAGTTCTTTCATGGATACTCTTAGGTCTTCTATGTATACAGTCATGTCATCTGTCAACAGATCATTTCAGCTCTTCTTTCTCTATTGGAATGCCTTTTATTTCATTCTCTTGTCTGATTGCATTGGCTTGGACTTGCAGTACTATATTGAATAGGAGTGGTGAGAATGGGCAGCCTTGTGTTGTACCAGTTTTTAGTGGAAAAGCTTTTAGCTTTTCCCCATTCAGTATAATGTTAGCTATAGGTTTTTCATAGATGGCTTTTATTATGCTGAGAAATGATCCTTCTATGCCACTTGTACCGAGAGTCTTAATCATAAAGGAATGTTATATTTTATCAAATGCTTTTTCTGCATCAGTTGAAACGATCTTATGGTTTTTATCTTTCTTTCTGTTAATATGGTGTCTTACATTTATGGTTTTGCATATGTTGAACCACCCTTGCATCCTGGAATAAAGCCTATCTGATCGTGGTGAATTATCTTTTTTATGTGCTGTTGAATACGATTAGCAAGTATCTTGTTGAGAATTTTTGCATCTATATTCATTAGAGATAGAGGTCTGTAGTTTTCCTTTTTTGTCGTATCCTTATCTGTTTGGGAAATTAGGGTGATAGAGGCTTCATAGAAGGAATTTGGAAGGGTTCCTTCCTTTTGGCTCTCTAGAAACAGTTTGAGTAGAATGGGGATTACCTCTTAAAAGTTTTGCAATATTCAGCAGTGAAACCATTGGGACCTGGACTTTTCTTTGTCAGGAGATTATTTATTACTAATATAATTACTAATCTTGTTGCTTTTACAGTTATTCAGGCTTTCTATGTCCTCCTGAGTCAATCTTGGTAGATAGTATGTGTCCAGGTATTTGTCCATCTCATCCAGTTTTGTTGTTGTTGTTGTTGGCATATAGTCGCTTATAGTACCCTCTAATGATGTTTTGTATTTCTGTTGTGTCTGTTGTAATGTTGCCTGATGCATTGCGAATTTGATTTTTCTGGTTTCTCTCTCTCTCCTCATCTCTCTCTCTCTCTCTTTTTTTTTTGAGAGGTTTTTGCTATAGGGTGCGTGTGCTCATCAGAAAGACAGAGAGAGACAGAGAGGCAGAAAGCAAGAAATCACCCCCCAGGGGGGATGGCCACACTGCAGTCCATTCTCCTCCATTCTCCTCTCGGGATCTTTGGTATGCACACGCGCCCAGTGTGAGTTTAAGCCAATAGGTCCAGGACTTGAACCGTGGTCAGCTACATGGGAGTCCAGCAACATAGCCATTATGCTAACTGCTGGTCCCCCTTTCTCTCTCTCTCTCTCTCTCTTCTTAATTAGTCTAGCTAATGGTGTGTCAATCTTGCTTATCTTTTTAAAGAACTAGATTTTGCTTTTATTTATTTTTTGCGTAGTTTATTTTTTATTTCATTTATTTCTGCTTCAATCTTTATTATTTTTCTCCTGGCATTTTATAAATTATTTTTTGTTGTTGTTTTTCCAGTTCCCTGAGGCATGATGTTGGGTTGTCCTTTTGCCATCTTTCCATGTTTTTCTTATGCGCACTAACTGCTATGAACTTCTCTCTTATGGCTGCTCTAGCAGTGTCCCATAGATTATGGAAGCTCGTGGACTCATTATCTTTTGTTGCCATGACTCTTTTGATTTCAGTCTTAATCTCTTCAGTAGTCACAAAGTCATTCAGAAGTGGGTTATTTAGTTTCCATGTATTTGTGTATTTTCGAGGATTTTTCCTGAAATTAGGATCAAGTGTAATTCCATCATGGTCGGAGAAGATGCCAGATATAATTTCTATGCCTTTAAATCTATAAAGTCTGGTTTTGTGCCTTATCATGTGGTCAGTCTTCAAGAAGATACCATGTGGGGCTAAGAAAAATACATATTTTGTGTTTTTTGGGTGGAAAGTTCTATAGATGCCTGTCAAATCCATCTGATTGATGGTATCATTTAGGTTATTTCTACTTTTCTTTAACCCCACCTCTATTCTAAGAGCTGTCAGTTGCTTGTTGTTCTCTTTTGTATTTTTTTGTTTTTAGCCCTGAATTAAAAGTATAAATGCAGTTCCTTTTTTTTTTTTTTTTTGGAGGTGGAGGTTTTTGCCACAGGGCGCATGTGCTTGCCAGAGAGAGACAGAAAGGGAGAAATCACCCACCCAGGGGGATGGCCACGCTGCAATCCCGTCTCCTCCATTCTCCTCTTGGGATCTTGGGCATGCACACACACGTGCCCGGTGTGAGTTTAAGCCACCAGGTCTGGGACTCAAACAGCAGTCGACTACATGGGAGTTCAGCGACATAGCCATTATGGTAACTGCTGGTCCCTAAATGCTGTTCTTAAGGCTAATAGTCTACTCTATTGTAAATAGAGAAAAATTGAAAGTAGTTATAAAGTGGATTTTACTTTTTCTCACAGGTATTAATAGAAAAAGATTGGATCTCTTTTGGACATAAATTTTCAGATAGGTGAGTAATGTAAAATAATTTTGTAATAATGTAAAAATTTTCAGATAGGTGCGTTTTATAAAATTAGTAAAACTAGAGTGCTAAAATGTTTTCCTTCTTTGTGAATACTTGTCTGATGGGAAATAAGATGCTTTGTGATTTTGTATTTTGTATGAAATCTGATTTAAAGTTTTTCTGGCATTTCTCAACATTTTAATACGTTTTTAATTTTCATGGCTATTTATTACCTTCCTTTATGGCTAGATTTTATTATTTAGAAGGCAACAGATTTTTTTTTTTTAATTGGAGTTAAAGAGTCATAGGTATAAATGTTTCAGTAAAAAAATTACATGGAGGCAACCAACAGATGGCGCTATGGTTACATCACTGGACTCCCATATAGGTGACCGTGGTTCGAGTCCCATACATGGCAACTTGGAACTCACACCGGGCTGCATGTGCATGCATGCCTGGGATCTTAAAATGAGAATGGAAGAGAGGATATTGGCCATTCCCCCCCGGGGTGTGATTTCTCACTTTCTGTTTCTCTCTGTCTCTCTGGTGAGTGCATGTGCCCTGTAGTAAAAATCTCTCTTTAAAAAAAAAAAAAAAGGGGGGGAATTTTAAGTAACCATGTTTCAGGATGATTTTTTTTGTTATGTAGTTTTAAAATTTAACAGTACCTGAACAATAGACTTCTTTTAGAGGCATTTTTTAAAATCTTGTACTTTCTGGGGGGGATTAGGTGTGGCCATTTGGATGGTGACCCAAAGGAAGTCTCTCCAGTATTTACTCAGTTCTTGGAATGTGTGTGGCATTTGACCGAACAGTTTCCTCAAGCCTTTGAATTCAACGAAGCATTTCTTCTTCAGATCCATGAACATATTTATTCATGCCAATTTGGAAACTTCCTTGGAAATTGTCAGAAGGAAAGAGAAGAACTCAAGTAAGATGTCGTGAATAAAATGGGCTCCTTTTTTCTCCTTGGCCTAGGTCTAACATAAATCAGGATTGACCTTAATGTAGTATCTTGACAATATGAAATAGAACTGAATTTTATTGTAAAGATTTTATTGTCTATATTTCTGAAATGAGTACCCTCCTAATATCCTCTACCAACTAGGTTAATAGTAAAAATACATTTTAGAATATGTTTTGAAGTGTAGCATATATACAGAAAAGTATAATGCATAAATGTGAAGCTTAATAAGTGTTACCTAACTTCTTGTGCACTGTGTAACCAGCACTCTGAACAAGAAATGTGGCCAATACCCTAGGAATGCCCTCATGCTCCTTTTTAGTTTAAAAAATATGTATGTGTGTAGGTGCAGGTGTATATTTAATCTATGTATTCACTCTTTTCACGTTACGGGGTTACGGCAGCAGAGTCCCGCCATCTAGCCA